CCATGATCCCACCCAGAGGTCAGCAACCGTTCTGAGCCCTGAGAGCTACTGGAGGTGTGCCTGGGACAAAGGCAAAGTTGGGGGATAGGAACAAAGTCAGGGAGAATGAGAAGCCTGGTGTCTCAGGCGCCTGGGTGGCTCAGTTGGTTAAGCGACTGCCTTCGGCTCAGGTCATGATCCTGGAGTCCCGGGATCGAGTCCCACATCGGGCTCCCTGCTCAGCAGGGAGTCTGCTTCTCCCTCTGACCCTCTTCCCTCTCATTCTCTCTCTCTCAAATAAATAAATAAAATCTTAAAAAAAAAAAAAAAGAAGAAGCCTGGTGTCTCTTTCCTTACACACTCCTTCCCATCTTATGTTTATTCTGGAGGGTACTTTATTTAAATTCTAGTCATGATTTGTAGGTCACCTCTCCCAGGTAGCTTTCCCTGATTGCAGCCAGTGCATTTTCGTTCTCCTGTGGACACTTAAAGAACTTGGTATGTGCCTGTCTCAAGTGCTGAGTGTTTCTCCTTAGGGCCAGACCCCAGTTTCCCCTCTGGGCTGCATGCTCTTTCACTCACACCCACTTGAGCCCTGTGGGCCCCTGTGTTTCGAACTTTAGGTCACTGTTATGAGTCGGAATATCAATGCAGAGCTGTTGTTCCCCAAAATTGCCTGAGAAGAATCTACCGGGACTTCTGTTAAATTCACACGGGTCAACTGGCCTCTCCCCTTGAGATTCTGATTTCGTAGGAGGTCTGACTTGGGACTGGGGATCTATTTACCAACCTTCCAGGACCTGGAATCTAGCTTTTCAATCAGTAAAGTGCATACAAATCATTTGATCTCAGGAATACAGATCCTTGTGTCCTAGGTCTGGGGCAGGCTAGGAAGAATAATTTTGAACCCGCCCCCGGAGGGATGCGGAGGCTGCACGTCCAGGATCACAGGCGATTCTTACCTTTAGGCCTGCTAGAGAAGCCAGGATTTGGTGCTGTTCTCAACCTCAGCACACCTGGGTAGCTTTTAAGACATACTGAGTTCAAAAAAGAAAAACAAAAACAAAAACACCCCACAAACTATACTAAGGTCCAGATCCCACTACAGACCAATTTAAATCAGAATCACTTAGGTTTTTTGGTTTGGTTTTTAAAGTTCTGAATGATCAGGTGTTGAGACTCACTGATTTAGTAGTTCCCCACCAGCACAGAAATAAATTAATGAATAAATGTAATAGAATAGACCATCCCATAGACTTGTGGGCTAGAAACTTTGACTCGATTATTGCCCTGTATATGCAGCTCATGTGAGTTGCTAGATCAATGCGGGTCTGAAAATGAGTGGAGAAGCGACTACATCCTGGAGTTCACAGACCAGCCATGGGGACAGACAGACTGAAGGAATTCAAGGACACCCCGGCTCTGCCCCCCCACCACCACCACCCTGACAGCACAGTGGGGGAACTCTGCAGCATCAGCAGTGAGGTCATGGTCAGGGAAAGCAGCAACAAGCCTCTGCATAAGCTGAGCAATGAAGAGTGAACAGGACTTTGTCGCAAAGCAGGCAGGGCCTTGGAAGCCCAGAGGACGAAAAGTACGCAGTTTGGAGGTGTGTGAAAGGTTCAGGGAAGGGAACTGACGGTGGTTGGCCTTGGGTCTGGAGCCTGGGGGTGTGAAGGGGAGTGGCAGAGGTAGGCCCAGACGATTGCAGGGGCCTGGGGAATGTGAGCCGAAGAGAAAGGAAGGTCACTGACCCCTTGCTAGGGAATGACGGCAGGTGACTTTATCTTGGCTCACAGTAGCCGGGACGCCACTGATAGATTGTGTAAAGCTTTTTTTGTGGACATAAGGGCCCACGGAGCCTAAGGGCACTAGACAACTTTCTAGAAAGCATTTGGCAGGAGTGGGGGTAGTAAAGGGTGCTTAAGCAAAGATCCATCAGCAACACTCCTATGTCCCTTCTCCCAAGACCCCAGACCCTCTTGGGCAAACACCCTGTTTGCCAAGCACTGAGTTGGAGGGCCAGAAACAAGGCAGACAGCTCTGCCCTAGTGAGCTGGCAGTGGGAAAGGATTCACCCTCACCAATGCCTATAACATAAGGCAGGAGCTCGGAACTGCCCCAAACTTTGTGCTATGGGAAGGCAGAGGCAAAAGCCATTAATTTTGCCTGGGTTGGTCAGAGAAGGCTCTTCCAAGAAGGCTCTTCCAAGAAGGCAAAGAGCCTTGAAGGGTTAACATGTTTAATTGGTGAAGAGTCAAAGCACCTGGGTGGCTCAGTCGGTTAAGCAACCAACTTGTGATTTCGGCTCAGGTCATGATCTCAGGGTCGTGAGATTGAGCCCTGTGTTGAGCTCTGCACTGGGCGTGGAACCTGCTTAAGATTCTCCCTCTCC